TACCTTTCGTTTCATTATTCTTAGTTAATTTTTTAATCTATTAGGATGATATTAGTTATAGTTTTAGATAACCTAATGTTTAATTCCATTTAATTTTTTAACTGACATATGGTTGCTTTTCAGCTTATCGTACTACAATATCTATCGAAATGTATTTGAGACTATTGCTAGTTTCGTAAAAAACTGGGAAAAGCCTATTTATCGTGGTTCGATATAAATCTCTAAATTTTGATTTATTTTCACGCCTATTTGCAAGTACTTTTCGCACTTATTGTTTCCTATTGGTTGTAGTTGTCATTTTAATTATAGCGCACAAATGTTTTGATTATTTAAATAACTATACCCCACTTGTTTCTGCTTTTATAGGGACTAATTTAAATTTATTTTTTATTTCCTGCGATACGACCCAACCATAAAATCCCTCGAAAAAAAAAATCCCCGTAAGACAATCCTGGGACTAGGCATAGCTAAGGACCTCGGCTAACTTTATCGTTGCCAAACATTGATTGCAAGAGCCTTTATTATTGGTAACTCCGCATCCGCCCCGACTTCCTGGGCAGTACTGCAGTTCGCAATAATTAAAGTTCATTACTAAGTGGATGCGGTCTCTTCAAAATTTCCCCCCACCGCGTAATTTAGTAAGCGTCGTGCCAGCCAGCACTTACGTTTCCAAAGTTCGCCAAAATAATTGCTCTAGAAGGTGCTATGTGATTTTACATGGTCATATACCCAATGATGGTGGATTCGCGTCATATGGTCACACCAGCTTTGTCGATGTAGCTGAATGGAAGCTGTATCACCATGTCGACGAGTATATCTTCACGTAGATATGCCGCCGGTAATTGCCCCCTAAAACATGTAGCATAAATAACGCAAGAAGAGCCTATGAACACCCAGTGTGGTGCCATGTTCTTGTAGGCAGTACATTGACGGTCCCCGCCAAGTGCAACAATGAACTTGATGACTATAAATACTTTGCTCCGTCTTGCGCTCACTCTCATTTGTGACTTCGTCAAGCCATTTCCAGCACGACGCCAAAACTTCGGTAAGTATCCTTGACCGGCAAACATAACCGGACGTGGGTGTCCGGCCTGTGTGAGTCCCACAAACAAAAAAATTATAGGGAGAGGGCAACATGCAATCCCACAAACGGCCCAGGCTAACCTGGCTCGTCTCTTAACTAAACGAAATTTTTGACCCATAGACGAATTCGTCAGCCGCCTGGGAGGACTGAGTAGCCGTAGCTAGAGCGCAACTTTTAATCTTTCGCAGTGAGAAGCCCTAAAAGGCTAGCCGAATCTGGTGTAGGTAAGCC